ATGAGCGAGCAGGAGGCCAGCGACTTCTCAGCCCCTCCGCGCCGCGCCGCCGCCGTGTCTAATAATAACCGTCCCGCGCCATCGCCTGCAGTGTGCAGCGCGAGATTCCCGCGCATAAGTCGCATCACCGCTGCCGTGTATTCCGTTGCATTTCAACGAACCCCCTCCCCCCCGTCCTCTCCTCGACCCGTCGGGTATAAATTTAAAACGTGTGCGCAGCGTTAAGTATACGACGGTGGCGGTTCGGGGGACGCTCGTGTAATACAATACCGACTTTCTGCGCTACCCGTATAGACATTATATGTTCTATAACATTTTATATATATATATTTTTTTTTTTATAGGTACTGTTATAATATACGCCGTAGATTAGAAAAAAAAAATAATAATAATAATAAAAAAAAACCATCACATTCTCCGGAGACTATAACCGGTGAAAATATAACGAGACTTCGGGTCTCGTGATATTAGTAAAATGGCTGTTTAGTATAATACTGCTTAGGTTCGGTCAAATTTTCTATACGGCACTTATTTTTATGACTTTTACGAACATTTGTTTGAAATTGTATGTTCTAAAACGTTACATTGTACTTATTTTTATCACCCTTATTAACAGATTCACCCAAAAAATGAGGGCAATTTTAACATTTTAGAATATATGATTGTAACAAGTTTTTTAAATAAGTAATTTATTGCAAAAGTAAGTAATAGTTCGTGGTTAATTTGAAAGAGCCAGTATGAATACCTACACGAGTTTGTAAAACTGTATGCCTGCATAGTTCGTTGTTTTTATATAGGTTCGTATAGTATAAAATAGTGTTATATGAGTGTTATGAATTTATGATGTTACAAGTAACGGACAATTTTATGATTATCGTTTTGTCCGATCAAATATGTGGGGCCGGTAAGTATGCCCCTATGCATCCCTGCAATACAAGTACAATGGTCGCGTAATTGATAAGATTGGCAGTATATATTATATACCTGTCGTAGGCGTATAGTCAAATCAGATATTTTAGTAAATGTCTAAGCAAATAGTCAAAGAATTTAATTTTTGTGCGGTCCACCTAGATATTTAGTATTTAGTTAAATAGACGGTTAACTAAATGCCAGAAATGCTTATTTCAAATCTGGAAAAAAATAACAATGAAACGTTTTTATATTATTTTACAAATTCAACTATATTTTCTTATTATTTATTTATTGCTATTCCACATAAACATTATGTATAATTTATTAATATGTAAAATACTTAGGCATATGAAACATTTTAAATTTCGGGTTCTTAGGTCGGTATTATTGTTTTGAAATTTAAATTATAAATAAATATAGATAATTGCTAATTAGTAAGTGGCCGGTGCAATAATCAGGTATCTCTGCATTTTTCAAAATTCATGTTTTAACATATTCTGATAGTGGAATATTTTGTCTATAAGTAGGCCCGACAATAATAAATCTCCTACTGACAGATAAGATAATATCATACAAAAGGAGATATCTGGTTTAAAATTTTCGGTGCAATAACTGGATATCTCCGGAGATATCTGTTTTTTTTTTTTATGATAAAACAGAATGGCATACAATTAGCTCAAATAAATCATTATAAAAGGTTGTGGTTGGTTGAATGATTATAATAATAGATATTATGATACTACTTGGTTAATGGTTCTTTAGATTATTTATTGTAAATGTTGTAAATATTTTTGAGATGTATATTAAAAAATAAACGTGGATTTAAATTTTGGGGCATAAAACCATATATCTCCATTAAATTTTGCATTAATTAATTTATTAATTAAAATTATTTAAATTTATTCAAAAGTATTATAAGACTTTTTGTACTATTATATATACACCTAAAGCATAAAAATGTGTAATAAAAACAGTGATTTGATCAAAGGAGGTTAATAGAGCTATTTTTTTATGTCTCCTGAAAAATTATAACAAGTTGAGATACCTGGTTATTGCAACGAGCTTTTCATATTAGGTACGAGTATAAAAAATGAATACAAATTTATTTTATAATTACAAATTATTGTTAGTTTTTAGTTACTATTTGTTAAAAACACAAACACTGACTGGTTTGACATTGCCGCTTTTAACATGAACTTGACATTTAACAAACCCTTGGCCGTTGAAATTTAATAAGTTTGCTACCGTTTGACATATGGATACAAATTGGTTTCGAGTACTTTGCTATCTTCTAAACCATTATTTGAAATCATATAGGTATATAGATAAGGTTTTCGTTAACAATGTATGTTACTTTTCAAAGGTAAAAATCTATGATTATATTTTTATATTGTTGGAATAAATAACGAATAAGAATATATAGTTTATTTTTTAAAATAATATTGCTTTAAATAATATTGCTATAATAATATTGCCTTATTTGCCTGACTTGAAATAGACTTTAGTTAAATGTATAGGCATTTAACTGGGTGTCTAGGCAGATAGTTAAATCGCATAAAAATAAAATTTTTTGACTATTTAGTAAAATGCCTACGGCATATACATATTTTTTTGAAACTAAACAAAACAAATTCTAGTTTCTTTCCAAGCACTCAGCATAAACGATAAACATCTTCAGCTTGTCGGTGCC